CGAGCCCGTTCTTGCTTTGCTTGCTTGGTGCTCTGTCCAAACCAAAAGATAAATGGCAGTGAATGCTGTCATTGAGTTCATTCCAACTCTTGGGTTTCCGAGGCTTTAAGCCTTTACAAACATGGACAGTCTCTTCTTTTTCCCATGGAACAACTTGGAGGCTTGAACTGCTGACGTTGTGGTTACTAGCTCATTGTATAACCCACTGGGCCACCTGGGCCACTGTTAATGTGTGTCACAGTCCCTTGTCATCATTCACACCATCTCCCCAGAGCACAGACCATGTCTTCTGCACATTTCTAGTGCTAGCAGTTAGCACATGGCCTGCTAAGTAGGATAGGATTGATGTGAATACTTTATGAATGAATGGCTTAAATAGATTGCATTCTAGATAACGCTTTCAGCATAGCCCTAATTCCATTAGACTGAGGAATTTATAGTCGTGGCACAGCAGGGGTAGCTGTGAGCTGGATGACAGACCCAGCATCTACAATGTGGGGCAGATAGCAGATGTGTGGCAGGAATCACCTCACCCTGGCACTTGGCCCTTTGTGATTTCAGGATCTCTTCAGAGGCTCAGAGGCGCTCTGTGGGGATGCAGCTCTCACCCAGCAGGCCGCTTGGCACAGATACCTTTCAAACATCCGGGAAGACAGCCAGGTGCTAAGTTAAGGGCAGGAAGGACACATGTTCAAAGCAAATTTTGAAAGATGCCCTTGATCTTCCCCCACTGAGAGAAATTGAGTGTGTCGGGCTGCCTAGATTCGGGACACAGTGGCATCACACCCTGGGCATTAAAAAAAGATCAGGACTCAAAACGCTGAAGAGAACCCCAAAAGTGGAGTGATCGTTGTTTGAATGGAGACACAAACGGAAAGTGCACTGTACTTTTTCAGAATGGTGGTATAAAATGTCGCCTTCCGGTTGGAGCTTCGAAATTGACACAAATCATGATGTTCTCAGTGAAAGCAATGACAATTTTAATATTATAGGTGATTGGTATGCCTCCATTATTTAATATTTAGAACTGTGGATTATAATTTGAGCTCCTGTGGTACGATTTCCATAGCTTAAACAAATCGGCACCAAGAGTCCAGAATGTGATACAGCATTTGCTTGTTGCAGGTGATAAAACTCTGTAATACATGCCTGCTTCTTTAACTTCCCCACGGAATTATAGCCCGTGAGGCCTTCCAATGGAGCATAATACATCATTGAAAATGGTTTCGCAATCTCTGCAAAGTATGAAAAACTAAGCACCAAGACCTTTACATCTGAACGTAGTTCTTTCTATCATTCAGCTCTTTTCAGTTAAGTGACCCAGGACCCAGATACTCTATACGTAAAGCGTTGTGTGAGGCTATAGAGGTGTGAGATCGAGTTCAGTGACTTGGAAAATGTTGAAGGTAGTACCTGTGACTTCCGTTTTCCTGGCTCTTCTGTCTGTCGGAGGTCAGGTTACGGGACTGTCTGCATAAACATATTCTGTGTTTATAAGGATGATGATAAAACATATCTTTGTAACAAGAAATGTAAAAAGAGAGTATTGTTTCCTTTAAGAAAAGCGGGGTACTATGTAGTGCCTCACTGTTTGTGGGGAGCACAAATCTGTATACATAAAGTAGATTGTGTGCTACATACACTTCAGAAATTCATTGGATCTGGGGAGTATAATTGCTGTCTCAAAATGTTCATTTCACATTCAAATTTTAGTCCTGACATATTTTTCTGAGAATTGGGCCACACCGGGCTGGGAAGTACAGTTCTTCATGGTGTTAGTTCTTTTTTTTATTCCTCCCAACTTTTATTTCTTGGCATTTCTTTGCTCTGTTTGTGGTTTTCACAAGTCCATCATTGACAGTTTCTTTGTGTGTGAGATTTTATGTATCTATGGCTGTATATACATTTGGTTTATGTATTTGTCTTATTTATCTCATATTTAGCTAGTACCCTCCATCTTGCTGCTTTTCTTGTGCTGATGAATTGCAATTGAATTGATTCTGACTCACAGGGAGCCTACAGGACTGAGGAGAACTGCTTCCTAGGATGTGTGAGGCTGTAGATCTTTATGGGGACAGAAGCCTCATCTTTCTCCTGCAGAGTGAGCCTTGGGCTGGGCTTGCAGTGAGCATCCCATGTGTAACCCACTGTGCCACCAAGGTTACTGCATAGAACTATAGTCACCGTTTTCAGAGCTCGTTCACACCTTCTATTCTTTGTGTCTGTTGGATTGAGTTTAGGGTCTGGCCATACTGTTTGCTGGAGAAGGTCCGCGCTTTTTCCCTTTGCTCAGTGTGAGCTCTGAGTTCTTTTGGATCAGTCAGGGGTGGAATATTACCTAAAATATTAGGCAGGACCAGTAAGTAATCCACCACTTTGACTTCATTTGCCTATACTTTCCATCTCAATTTGCTTTCATTTCTAAAAGTAGCTAATATCTACAAAAATTCTTGCAACCATATTTGTTAAACCCTAAGGATCTTTTGATAAGTTTTTTTGTAAGTAGCAGTAATTTATTTCTGAAAATAAAATATATGATTAACAAGTATGAAAAAAAAATTAGAAGACCCACAAGACAATTTGCCATCTTGTTAAAAGTGACAAAAACAAAAATCCCTTACTTATCATGCAAAATCTAAGCACAGAACATTCACTTTTATGTTGATTTCCAAGATGTAATGGGTTGTATAGAATCATTGTAGAGATTCTTTTTTATTTCATTGTAAAGATTCATTATGAAGCTTAGCTGTAAATCATAGATACTAAATGCTTTTCAGTGAGTTTTGAGATAGGAATCTTACACACCATTTCCCTTCATAGTTCTAGCTAATATTGTAACATAACTCAAGGACCTTGTGTGAACCAAAGCCAATGGCTCACCTTGATTTATCAGAAAGGCCCAATTAGAGAATAGCTTTTACCCATATGGATTTAAAATTACTTTATCCATTTGGAGGCAGAATAGCTGGCAGTGGTACACTCACCCTCAGATGCTGAGGAGTTGCTGGTGATGTTACTGGCTCAAGAGAGGAGGAAGTAGACAGAAACCTAGGAAGGTTTGGGTCCGAGGGAAAGCAAAGGAATTGAACTCGCTGGTCCACCCGGAGAACACTTGTGTACCACAAAATATGGGTATTAGTGTAACAGGTAACAAACCACTCGGTTGGAGAAAATGTAGCCTGGGTGGAGGGCAGTAGGTGTGCATTGGGCTGCTAACCAAAAGGTTGGCAGTTCAAATTCACCCTATGCTCCGTGGGACGACGACGGGCAGTCTCCTTCTGGAAAGATTCACCACTTGGGAGCCCTGTGGCACAGGTGCCCCTGCTCACGGGTCTCTAGGAGTTGGAATTGACCTGCTGGCCGTGGGCGCATGGTGTGGGTGGTAGATGGAGGAAAATAGCCCCTTTGGTATCAACAGTACCAACTTCCAACGGGTACTCTTAACCCTTTCTTGGAATGAACAAAGAGTGGAGGTCTCCTCTCTCACCACAATTGTGACAGCGTTGGTGCAAGTTTTTCTTGCTCTAAATGTCAGGACAGAGATTAATTGTGTGACCCTTGTTGAAGATGAAAAATCACGTTCCTGAAAGTCCTATAAGGAAAACAGCAGGAATCGCTTCTTCAAAAGGGGCAGAAAGCTTCCACCCCCACAGATTAAAAGACCCAAATATATGCCAATTAATACCTATATAGACTCCGATCTCTGAACAAAATATACCACTGGATGGTTCACCTGAACTCATCCTTCAGATTGAAACCATTCCTGAGCTTGTCTAGAAAGGAAACGTAGTTGCACGTTTGTAATCTTTGGATTCCCATCAGTGACAGGGGAACTACTAAGGGAATCCGCTTGTCTTCACGCTTCTGCCGTAGAGTTGTCTGCAATCTATAAGAAGGTTGCCTTCTCCGTCATGCATTACCATCTAAAATCTTTTCCCTGAGAGTTGTGTGTGTGTGTGTGTGTGTGTGTGTTCATATTATGTACTTCTCCAAACATTCTTTGGGAATCGAATATGAAAAATTTTAAGCCTTGGTTAAAAATTATATGTGTAACAAGGGAGTCCTTGGGGATGCAAATGTTAAGCTGCTTGCCTACTAACCCGGAAGTTGGAAGTTCGAGTCCACAAAGAGGTTCCTCAGAAGAAAAGCTTGGCAATCTACCTCTCAAAAATCAGCCCTTCCTCAAGGACGCTATCAATCACACCTCCACGCAAATTGGGTCCACACGCATCAACATTGACTCGGTGGCAGCTAGGATATGGGAACATTGGTCTGTGTCAACTGGATTTTTTTCTATTTGGAAAATGTAATATAATATTTTCCAAACACATACATACATAATCCATAAGGAATAAAATGCAAACCCATGCCGCTGTCCCTCACCAAACCCAATTCTGTTTTCTACCTTTTCCTCTAGAATCAGCCAGAAAGACAGTATCAAATACCACAGCAAGTGATTTAGAACCATTAACTCGTACAAACTGTTCTCCTGAAGAACGAAGTCTCCTTAGTTTGATAACGTCAAGGGTGAACTTTGGGAAAAGACGTTTCCTAAAGTAGTTTTTCCCCCCTGGAACCTGGAAACGAGTCCTGGTGACTCATGTATCCTTCTTCTGGCCCACGCGTGCTCTGATCTTCTCTAAACAGAAGGGGGGGGGGAGGCAGCTCATTGCCACCTCAAAAGTTGCTCCTTGGCATTGTGGAGACCTCCTAAGGATAGCATCCGCACATTGATGGCCAAATGCATAGCTTTTGCACCCTGGTTTACAGATGAAACCTCTCGTGGGTAGTGAGGGATCCACCGTGTCCCCAAGCCCGCATCTTGACCGGAGACGGCCACATGTTCTCCTGGGGAGCAGACTGATGACCTTGCAGTTAGCAGCTGAACTCTTAGTCACGCCACGGCCAAGAGTCTGTTGTGTATGTTTGCGTGTGAGCATGTACAATAATAATTGTAGACCAAAGGTGATTGACTGCCTGACTTCCGTTTGCATCTCCAGGAGCAACCGCGGCGGCCCGGAAGGAGGTGATAAGGAACAAGATCCGAGCAATCGGCAAAATGGCCAGAGTGTTCTCCGTTCTCAGGTGGGATCCTTTCTTCTTCTGTTTCTATTCTGAATTTTATTATGTGTCTCTTCATAAAAAGTTTAAGACGATCATCTGGTGACATAAATATCTTGCTAGAAAACATGGGCATTTTCTTAATTATCGTTTTTCCCTTTAGAATTTAGTTTGTCGCCGTTTTTAGTCCAGTTGAAATCGACTCACATTTCTGTGAAGAGAGCCTCTATAAATACATAGCTTCTCATCTCCCCCCTCTAATTGCTACACATTTATTCCACAATAGCATGGACAGCTCATGAAAGAGGAAAGCCGTTATAATCCTTTTAGCTTTCACTCTGGCTCCATGGGAAAAGAAGACTTTAGCAGGTGCAGTGACTAGATTTCAAGGAAATGAATATCAACCACAAAGTTTATTCACACTAATCGCTATTATTCTAGTAAGTCACCCAGAGACTGGGGTGGGGGTGGGGAACACACTTGAATTCCCATGTAGTGGGTTTGTTTGCTTTTTTTTTTTTAACCATGAATCATATAATTGTTATTAAGCATGGATTTAGAAAACAAAAATTTTCTTGAAGATAATTATGTATTCATTTAAATAATCTCTTTGTAGGTAATATAAAGTAACCCTATTTTTCTGATCATTTCCTAAATCCTTAAAAAGCAGTGTTCACAGGAGAATTGTGCTGTAATGTATAAACATGCACGTTAACAGGGATCAAAGGGAATGCCTTCCGAAAATTACACCACAAGGCCTCCTAATCAAAAGTAATACCTGTGTGGGAGCCAGCCCAATCACAAATATATCACCATGGAGCTAAAAATAGCAAATGATTCTCCCTTTGCGCTAACCTGTCTCATTCATTCAATTAAAAAGTAGATAATTAAACTTAAAACGCTGATAACGTACCATGCAGAAAGGTAACATACAGGGGATAGCAAGTGGAAGATCACTCACGTTTCGGTACATAATAAAGAATTTCTGAGTGATGGCATTTGGGCAGAAGATATGGGTGTGGGGTTCAAAGCAAGATGAGCCCCAGTGACTGAAGCGCTTATCTGCGAACCAGGAAGTCAGCAGTTTGAGCACTCAGCAGGAGAAAGAGGTAGTAATTTGCTTTCCTAAATATTACAGCCTTAGAAACTCTTTGGGGCTGTTACCACTTTATCTTACAAGGTCATTCTGTCAAAATTAACCCAACAGGAATGGCTTTGATTTTTTTTTTTCTTAGACTCCAGGCAAAAATAACAAATAGCAAGTACAAAGACCCTTAGGTAGAAATAAGACGGGCACGAAGGTCTGTGTACTAGAAAATTCTGTGGGGGGCAAAGGATGATGTAAAGATACTGAACTCAAATGGTACCTCTTGGTGAACACTTGCTTATTTCTTTTACCATAGTCTTTACCCATAAACACTCAAATTTCATCCTCTCCCTAAAGTCTGATGGTGAAGACTTCAGAAGTTAAAACAGCCCCAAAATTTCCATGTAAGAATGCATTTAGGAAAAAGCAAGGTCTTTCTTATAGAAATGATTGCTTCCATCTCTGTGGGATTTCAGGCCACTTGAAGGTGCTAAGAGCATTTCTGTAGACTCATAATATGGTTGGTCTTGAAATTGACAAGTCCCTTCAGCCCCCTGCCTGCCAGCATGCAAGGCATAATTATTCCCAGATGAGAAATGGATCATTTGAGCCTAGTCATAATCAGTAACTTGATAGAGATTGAATCTATTAATAGAAAAAAACAATTTTAGCATAATTGTATTGCTCCTCAAAAAGTATCTCTATAAGTATAAAAATGTGATCCAAAATATGTTCTACAGGTGTATAATGCATTTATAAAATCTGTAAATCTGTAGGAGGACTCATGGATTCTATCAGTTAAACAAATTATATTTATTATTGCTTTTCTAACATGTATGTAGCAATGTTACAAAATACAAGAAGCTCATACCCAGAAAAAAGTAAGTTAAATTTAGTAAGAATAATGATTGAGCATCTAATGTGTATCAGATGCTGAGTTAAATCATCTGGGTACCCACTTAGTCTGATAAGAATATAAATAATAAACTAATATAAGACATTGAAACATGTACCAACGCCACGGACAGACATTCTGCTGTAGAAGAGGACAGGAAGGAAGGCTTGTGGTGCCTAAGTGAATGCTCATAAGGAGATTGAAATGGCAGGCATGAGCTCGGGAGAGATGCATGGCAGGCTTTCTGTTAAGCGGTTCTCAACCTATGGGTCACGACCCCTTTTCAAACGACCCTTTCACAGGGGTCACCTGATTCCTAACAGTAGCAAAATGACAGTTATAAAGTAGCAACAAAAATAATTTTTTTTTTTTTTTTTTATGGTTGGAGGGGTCATCACAACATGAGGAACTGTATTAAAGCATCGCAGCATTAGGTTGAACCGCTGTGTTGAGTGGAGGATTTTGATGAAGGTATTTGAAGAAGATTAGAACTAGTCGGTCACATGGGCTTGGTGCCAAGAGTAATTATCAATGGCATCACTTTATTGGGTGCTTCCTGAGTGCCAGCTGCTAGGCTGGAACAATGTAAACACATGGTACAGTAATTGACACAGTACATCGATACCACACTGGCCTCATTTGACAAAGAGGAATTGGCAACCAAGAGAGGCCAAGCAACTTGTCCCTCAACTAATGAATAGCACTGAGGAGATTGCTACCTGAAAGGGAACCGAGGAGTCAGCACATTGTAAGCACGTCGAAGGGCTGGGCTGGTAAATGGCGTGAATGTCGGTGACAATGTCGGTGACTAATGAGGTCCAAATGCACGTCCATCCCAGTTCTGGCAGGTCTGCAGTGCCGTGCTCAAGTGTTGTGCTGCAGGAAATCAGGAGGCCTAACATGATTTCCATGGAATGAGAGACATGCTCCCTGATGTGTGTGTTACTGTGACAACTTGACGTTTAGCAAGAAGACGTGTTAGTGATAAGAGGAACACTTGGGAAGTTATTGAAATTATCCAAGTAAAAGATGTTGAAGTAGGCTTTCAGAGGAAAATTAAGGGACAAAGAGAAGCTATTTTTGAAGCTCAAAACATTTTAAAGGTAATAAATGAATGTGGGCAGTGATGTGACTTTGTTAGACATAGCTGCCCAACTATTTTGGTAATTTGCAACATTATAACAGAACCAGAAATCTGTTTTTAAGCAACCTTTGCCAGAGAAGGGGACAGCTTGCCTAGAATCCAGCCATCAGATCATTGCACATAAGACTCTTGCTAAATATGGCTGCCAGCGTGGAAAGCAATCCTTCTGTAGGGGTGGACTCCGTAGGGCCAGCAATGAAAGAACTGTTTCAGCATTTTGGAGGCTAGCTTGCTAGCTCTACTGTGTCCTTAGATGCGGCTGCTTGTAGCAGTGGCAGACCCCACAGAGTGAATGGCCACTCTTCCTAGCTGCAGAGTATCCAGCTCTAGTTCTTGCCTCAGGAAGCTCTCCAATAGCCCTTAAGATATCCACCATGAAAACTAGCAGAATAGAATCTGCTGTTTTCTACGAGAACCTGGCCTATGTAGGACCTGATGTGAAAGGGGATTTAATTTCAAGAATTTTCAGAGGTTCTAACTCATGAAGTTGATAATAGGATACTGTTGTTTCTTTAGAAGAAGTATTTTGGTGAACATGTTGCTTCTTTAGAAGTATTTTTATGAACATGAATATCTACTAGATACTTATCGGGAGGAATAAGAGGAATTGAACTTGGCTCCTTTTCCCTTCGAATGGTTGGTAGAACATTCATGTAGAGGCAGGTAGAAAAAGAGAGAGGTGGGAGCTCGAAATGCAACCATGTGAGTAGCCAACACACAGACAAGCCTGAAGCAACAGAAGCGGCCTGCCTTCCAAGGGAGAGAGTGAAAGTGGAAAGAGACCCAAAAGAACCCTTTGGAACAGAGCTTTTCAGTAGAGCTGTGAGATAAGCTACATGTATAATTTTATATTTCTTAGAAGCCACACTAAAAGAAGCAAATGGAATTGACTTTAATAATACATCCTCTTGCACACAAATATCCAGTGTGTTGTGCTTTTATCATGCAATCATTAAAAACATTAAAGAGCTATTTGTTTCTTAAATTTTTGTACTAAGTATTAAAAATCTGGTGGATATTTCCAATATATAGCACATACCAACTCAGACCAGCCATGTTCCATGTAGTTGGTGGCAACCATATTGGCAAGCCTAGGTCTAGAGGCAGGTGAAAAAGAGCAATTAAAGTACTCAAGAGAGAGAGAAAGGAACAAGAAGGGCAGTGGATAAAGTATCACAAGGGCTGAGAGCAAAGAGTCTTTCAGGAAGGAAGATGGCTTTCATTCGTGCAAAAATCACAGAGGTACCCTTCTGAGTGAGAACTCAACAGAGAAATCTGGGATTGAGAAGTGAAGATGCTGCTGGAAACATCAAAGTCAAGTTGGAACATCAAACGCAGGGAGGTCAGAATCCAGTTGAGAGAGACGAGGAAAGGAAGGAAGAGGGAATGACCAGAATTGCTAGCCTTTTAATGCACCCCATATAAGTTAGCCTTCCAATGACAAAGAATTGGAAACAACGAGAAATTCAGGAGCTTACACTAAGCCACGTGAGTGAGATTTAGCCAAAGTGAGAATTATTCCAAAGCTGATTTTAGAATAGGTCTCTCTAATGTTGGTACAAAATGAAAACTGAAAAATTTTAAACAATGGATGAATGTATGGCTTGTGATGAGAGAAGTAACCCCAATAAAAGTATTTAATAATAATTAAAAAATACATAGAAAAAGAAAAAGGTGGGGGGGCATTTATTAGGATTTTGTTGTTAATTTCATTTCTTGAGGTGGGCTGCATAATAAATATGTGTATATATGTATATAGATATGTATGTGTATGTTTCCTTAAAAACAAAACAAAATTCCCTCCAGATTTTTTCCCCTCAAACCTAAATAATGATTTAAGTGGCTTAAAAATAAATAAATAAATAAATAGGAAGGTACGTCTAAAACCAAAAAACGAAATCCATATTACTAGCAAAGTTTTATAGGTATAAGTATAATTATTCCATTATATCTTGCCAAAGCATAGGGAATTCTGGCTTTCATTTTAATGAACTTAATACTAGGATTTTATATAGAGAAATAGTAATCATTCATGACATTAAAGCCTGTTTCTGAATTTGAAAGTAGAAGGATGTGTTCAAATCTTTTGAGATACTTCCAAATTTTCCAGAACCACATATTAGCATGTGGTATGTTTCTTCCTCATGTTTTCTATGTGGTTTGACAGCAGAAACCCCCAAAGAAGGAAATGCCTGCGTGAAAGTAAACAATGGTTAATTGACCATCTGCAACCTAATATTTTAAAGTAAATTCTACTGTAAGGGATACTGAAATCAAAAACATTAACAGTGCCATTCTGTTTTTCTTTCTTTTACTCACGTTTTCAGTAAATGTTATTTGACTGTTGAAGTGTTCTCTGAACTCTAGGTACTGAGAATACAGCCACAAAAGAGATGAACCTTGCCTGGCTAAGGCGGAATGTGGAGCTAGACAGTGGAGACCAGAAATATATGAAGGGTTTCAAACAGCTCATGGAAAAATTCCATTTTCTTTTAATTCTATTTTCCCGCAAACTTTTTTCAGCCCCCCTCACAGACTAAACAAAACTCTCCATATGGTGATGAGTGCTTCGGGTAAAGAAATAAAGTTGGGGGAAGGCATAGGAGGTGAATGTTAGGGTAAATAGTGTCTCCAGATAGAAGGTAACATTTGAGCACAGAAAATGCCGAGGGAAGGGTGTGGTGACAGGGTGTGTTTAAGCAAAGTCGACACAGGTCGGCACTCTAGTTGAAGAGATGGTGAGTATGAGTGTATGAATGCAGTGGGGTTTTTGTGCTGTTGTTGTTTTAGGACCTCCTAAGGAATCCCTAGAGAGTGTGAATAATTAATGCACTCCGCTGCTAATAAACATGTCAGACCTAAGTCCACCCAGAGGTGCCTCGGAAGAAAGGCTTGGTGATCTGCTTCTGAGAAACCTGATGGATCCGAGTAGTCATGTTGTAAGAAATGATAGTATTCTAGAAAGATTGTAAGGTAGCCCTCGCAAGATTTGATGTAGAATGGAATGGAGTTGAGGGTAATCTTTAAGCTTAATCAGTGTGTGTGTGTGGGGGGGCTGTCAGTTTCTAAACTGAAGGAAGTTTATATAAGTACCAAGTTTGGAAGACTTTGGAATTCTGTGTGGTTCATGTTACCCATGTTCATGAAAATGTAGAATAGGTCATTGTATATATCGCATATAAGTATTTATGCATTTGAAATGTCTAGCCCTACTTTATAGCCATATTATTATTATAATTTTAATGTTATTGCTTTAGTAATGTCACAGGGATTAATAAATGCAGTTAAAATGATTGTATTATAAATCAAATGAATTGAAAGTCATTGGTATAGTGAGTACTGAGATAACTTTAAGCAATTAGCAAGGAAGGGGAGGCTGGAAAAGAAACACCGAAAAATGTGTCCAGCCGCCTATTAGCTGTTACCATGATTTTGCATGCTTATGACGTAAAGGCAGAATTCCTCAATAACTCCATGAATGTCATTCTTGGCTCCCTAATCCGTAGATTGAATTTAGTTATTATCTTTTTGATTTTCCTCTCACACGCGCCCTCTGGGTTTTCCTCCCAAGCCCAGTGGCTTTCACGTAAACATTTGCTGAGCCCTCGCTGGAGAGCTTACATGAGCCCTCTGCCTGGGTCCTCCCTGCCGCTGTCACAGTGATGCACAGAGAGCGCTGTCGGATGAGGCCTGGTTCAAAACCCGAAGTGATTTCAGTTTCCTTAAAACTCTGAAGAGACCGTCATATCACCACCGTTCTCTGATGGTCAGCTTGACCTTAGCAGTCCCTTTACGTGGCATGGTTTGTATATGAATAGATACAAGTAGAATATAGTTTAGGTGGTACAAAAATTCCTTTTCCAAAAGGGCAGAACAAAGGTGAGTAAGCAGGAATTCTTAAGTGCCTGTGTTTTCTTCTGCACCATTTCTTTTTTGCCCAAACTGAAAACTTAAAATATGTGTGACCCCCCACCCGCCTTCTGCCTTTTTCTAGAGAAGAGAGTGAGAGTGTGCTGACGCTGAAAGGCTTGACTCCAACGGGCATGCTCCCCAGCGGAGTGCTTTCTGGAGGGAAGCAAACGCTGCAAAGTGGTAAGCAGACCCACCGCCTCAGGCAGCCGTGCTGTCAGACCTCTGCCTGATTCGCTTCTTCTCGGCTGGGAGAAGGGCTGACAGGTCACATCAGGATGACCTGCCTCATCTAACATAGAGCTCCTCCTGTCCCTAGAATACACTTGTTGCCCCTTTGCTCCTCCTCATTTGTATAGGCCCACTTATTCAGACCTACCTAGCAGTGAGACAGGTTCACATGCACAATATGTTTGCCCACCGGGAGCCAATCACCCACTAAACACAACTTCTAAATTCTATTCGTAATTAAATTATTCCATCTAGTTGAGGAAACACACACACGCATGTATGTATATAGACTAATATATATCCAGAAGTCTAGATTGTAATGGAGCGTAAAATGCAAATGCTAGAAGGATCATGTCATCATCCACTTGAATATAAACTAGGAACTGAATATCTCTTTGTTTGATTCATTAATTTAGAGCCTAAGAAACAGCCTAGAACTAGATGTGATTGTGGAAAATAACATTTTCACTGAGATAGATTTTGATCTTAAAAAGATCTAGCCAATGATGAAATGATGGAAATGTCTGTATTTCTGCTGTCCACTATCGTAGTTTCTGGGAGTATACGATTACTGAGCACTTGCAATTTATCTAGTAGGACTGAGAAACCAATTTTTTAAATTTATGTAATTATCATTAACATTACTTAAGTAGCCCCATATGGCTAGTGGTCTAGCCACTATTGGACTGTATACTTTTTATACACACTTACTGGTTTATTACCTATTTTTACTAATGTCATTATTAGAATCCCATTTTAGCCTTGCTTTGTAGAAAATGTTCTCCTAGATTAACCTGTGAGACAGAAAAGATAAATTGAACAGAAATGCTTTGTGACAGTTTTGAAGCAATCTCAGCCTCTGCTTATTTTCCTGTATCTTTCCCTAAATCTTTTTTGTGTTTTCTTTTCTCTCCCTGTTCTTCGATCCAGACCCTCAGGCCTTTAGCTACACCTTCTCGACATACAGAGGGTCAGCATGTATAGGAGACTGCTGATGAGCACCGCCTCACAATAGTTTTCCTTGTTTTCACATGAATTTATTTCAAAGTCAGCTGAGTTTCCACAAAAAAGATGCAATGTCTTCAATGACTGTAGGAAAAAGAAATGGTGTGATTGGCATAAATTCCTCTTTACAACTCAAAGTTATTTTTAGTAACTTTGAAATAAAAAGAGGCTTTCCCACCAAAGTAAACTTACTGAAACATTAGCATAATGGATTATTTATATGCATAAAACACCTATCTACCTAATTGACTGAAATCAGCTTCGTTTCTGAGAAGCACATTTTAAGCCACAAGACTGGTGCTATCAGGACTGATGGCCACTTTTGCTTTCTCTCCCTGCCGTCAAGTCCAAGGGTAGAAGGGCCCCTGTGAGTTGCTGAGACTGAAATATTTACGGGAGTAGAAAGCCCCTTCTTTCTCCAGAGAGTGCCTGGTGATTTTAAACCACATACTTTCATGTCGCAGCCCACCCGTAACAGCTGGCCCACCAGGGTCCCTGCACTGTTGCTTTAGAAGGATACATTAGTAGTGGGCAGTACAGATGCCTAGTGTGCCAGTGCTGGTATGGCTCCAGATATTTTGCTTTACTTTTAAACTTCAGTTATATAAGTTACTATAGTTCTTTATTTTATGTCAGATGTTTACCTGCATTTTTAACCTGTATTATTTGGATTTTCTTTTAATTGATTTTATATGTTTTGGTTTGCATTATTTTATGTTGAACTCATACACACACACACACACACACACACACACAGGAGAGATAGGGGTCGGTCGTAACTTTGTTAGCACTGAAACTTGAAAGCTTATATTTTAGACCACATACCTTACCAAAACCTCAGATTTTATTGTCTTCCTTCCTTCCATTTGTCCAAAAGGAGAAACCGTCGAAGTTTTACTATTTAGCTCTTCTCTAGGGATGTAACTATTATTTCTAGCATAAAACTCTAAATTGCACTATAAGGAAATTAGAGTGCACATTTGCCATTTGCTCTCGTTTTAAACCTCAAAGTATAAGAAAATACAAATTTCGGTCAAGGGGTAGGAATTGAATATTCAACATTTTGGAGCACTTCATTAAGGAAAGATCATCTAGCCAGACAACAGACACCTGTGTGGTGAGAGCGCCTCCTTTGACCGTCTAGAAAGCTTGCTGATAGAGCAATGGGCTTTTAACGTTCGGGCTCTGTGAAGTGCTGACCCTTCAGGAGGTAGGTTGTCTGGCTTTTAACGTGCCAGCAAAATTACCGAGGCTGCTGGCACATTACCACTTAGATTGTAACACTTCCAGAATTGTATTTCCCAAAGTGAGATCCCAAGAACGAAAAGAAAACTAATTTTAAAATGGGTTTCTTGCTCTCCCACCTAAGAGATTTTTCCTTGGGGATGTATCTTTCCCTTCCACGGCCTTTCTGCCCTGCCCCGTCTAACTTAAACTTCACCATCCTTAAGCCCCTGTTTTCAGAGTCACGTGCATTGTCATGTTGGACACATGGATTTTATTCTTTCTCTAAATTTGCGCGCGCGCGCGCGCACACACACACACACACACACACACACACACACACACTCCTTAAGTTTCCCTTACACTAGGAAGTGGTATTCCTTAATATTAAATAGTGTGAACTATTCCACTGACATGGTCGTACCGGTACCACTTGAAGTGCTGCCATTTTCCCTGGTGTTTTTAAACGAAGTCACCAAGCGCAGCCATGGTTTGTAGTGCTGTGTGTAAGTCAGGTGCACACTTGAGTCTTGTCTGGACCTTGAACCATTCACACCTTCCTGAAATTCTTTGTAACGGATTGTGTTGTCACTTGCTAAGTGAGCAAATAATAGATTATATTCAGCTCATTAAGGACACTTATTATTTTGGTTTTTTTGTTTTTTCTTTTCTTTCCTTTGGAGACGTTCTGTTTGGTTGCCTGTGCCAGAATCCAGCACTTAACAGGAACATGCGTTCTCTGAGCTCCTTTGATCGTCACTGATTGTTCTTAGAATTAAGAAATCCTCTGCTCATTTTTCTCATTCATTTTGCACCCCCTTTCTTCTCTTCAGCTACTGTTGAGGCTATTGAGGCTGATGAAGGTAAACTGGCCAGTCCCCTTTCTGTTGCACCTACAACAGATAAGGGCTCTGCTGGGTGTATTCATTTTTTTAATTTTTTTTTTTTTTTGCTGTAGCTTGTACAGAGTGTGTGGGTGTTGGGCTAACAGTTGTGGCTCAGTATTAACCAAAATGTTCTTGCTTTAAAGGGGAAAATGTCCTTTCTATGGTTTGTTTGTGTGTTGGTTATTCTTTTTTTCCTTTAAAGCTATGTTTGACTTGGATACACAGAACTTCATATAATCACACCACAAAAGGATTTTATATATATATATATATATAGAAATATGTGGGTGGGGGTTAAGGCAGCAGTTTTGACAAATAATGTAAATATATATATATATAAATATACACACATACAAACATTTATAGAGCTGAACCATGTCCTTCCTCAAATCACTTTCAGTCAGTACTGAAAAGAAGAGAATAAAATGAGATTTATTCATTGTAACCTTCAGAAGAGACTTCTAGCATGCACACACACACATACAAAACCCCAAAAAACAAAACAATGCTTTTTTTTTTAGGTTAACCTTAATTTCTGTCTCTCTGTGAAGATCCCAACACATGACAGATATGTCTGGGATGACCTGTTCTGCTGGACGTGTTGAATCTTAACCTACTGGTGTTTGTAGATCCATTAGTGAAAGCCAAATATTAGAAAGAGTTTTTTTTAAAAATCCAGTGACTGAGGAAGTGGCCGGTAACAAGAATACTGAATACCGAGTAGTCTGTCAATCAATTCATGTTTACGGAGTGCCTGCTTTGGACCAGGTGCCGCACTAAGTGCTGCAGGAGAAGTCAAGACGTGTATCGCACCAACCATGCCCTCACGGGGCTTAAGGACACTACAGTTGTACGTTTAGTCATTACTTTTTGAGTACTTTTTTAAATCCATGGTTAGGAGAAACCTGTATTTCAAAAAAGCTTTTCATATCATATATGCCATATCTACTGGAAATTTTTAAAGGAATAATTTGAAGTTCCCCTTTAAAACAAATTCTCCAGTTGTATTTTGTTCTTGCAAGACAAGATGGCTTTTTTTTATTTTTCCCAAAATTGTGTGCGTATGGTCCCTTGGTCTGACATGAGAAGTGCCACTATAGACTCTTCTAATTTGCAAATGATTTGGATACGATAGGGGAAATGACACGCTGTAAGAGAAAATACAACTGCTTCTTAAATAGCAGTGAGTACAACTGCTATTTATGTGGGAATTCTCTGTTCCTCTTGGCAAATTCTAATCTGCAATGTGCATTCTTGTTGATAGTTTGGCTGTTTTTTATGTTGTTCCTTTATTTGTGGTTTCTGTGACTCTGTGTTGTGTTAAGTATACTACCAATGTAAATTGCTAATACCCATTGTCTGACCAGCAACTAAGCAGAGCACATTCTTCGTATCCCTGGAGAGACAAAAACTGATTGGAAATGGACCCCAATTCCAGACGCGCAGATGATTCCAGCGAGATTTGTAACTGGAACCCACCCACCCACCATATTGGCTTTTAAAAGCTAGACACATCCCACTTCTACCTTCTAAATCAATCTAACATGGCTTCTTCATAAATTATCCTGACTGTGAGAGTCGGTGTCTTTTCTGCTTAGGATGAAACGATGCCATGGTTCAGAAAAGGCTGGAGTTCCACTGCCGGCTAGCCTGTCACTGGAGGCTCCCACCCATGGACTTCATTTTCAGGGTGGATGCTCATTCGACAGCTCCTTCATTTGTAATTTATTACAAAATTAGAGAAGAATTAAGAAGCTTTGCTTTGGGCCTTGGTCTTTCCCCATTTCTCCATCTCCCTCTCATGGTTGACTAATCACCATTATGCTAACATTGAAAATAAAGAGGGGCAATAAAGAATTTCTCATAGTTGATGAGTTTTGAGAAAACTGTATCTTTTGCAGTTCTCGTCCATCCTAATGGAAAGAACAGGACATTTGGGGCGCAGTGGCTGGTGAAGTGTCAGCTTGGAGCTGCTTTCCTTTTTTTCCACCACTCCCCACCCCCACCCCCAAATAGGATTGGGAATGAGAAAGGTCCCACAAAATTGTCCTTAATCAGCCACGATGATGCAACCCCCCAGCCCCACTCCATTCCGCATTGGTGATTGGCCCTTCCAGACCCAGCTTACACTTCTCAGAGAGCAAAGCAAACTGATGTCATCGGTTCCCCATTGAAGTCCTTTTACTTTCAGCACACTGGTTGGTGCTCCCACGGAAGAAACCAACACACTTCTGAGCACAGATGCCTGGCCTAGCCCCGTCGCACACTGCGCGTCAGTAGACACAAACCCACTGTCATGACTCTCACTGAGAAGTCCATGTTTGAACGGAATAGGGCCCAAACCTGTCCAATTTGTTTTTGCTAAAGATTATGATAGGCTCTCCCCTCTGTCAGTCTTTTATCTCTAACTTAGGTGTACATTGATGCGTTAAGAAGCACTCATTCTTTGCTGTAGGCAGTAATGGATAACCAGATGAAATCAGTTTGGCCTGTTCACTGCTGAAGGGCCAAACAGCTTATTTGCTTAGTATAACTGAACTTGGTTTTTCTGGTTTTTCTCTTATCTTGTTACCCACTCTATGTACCTCCAAAATTGAGTGGGGGAAATATGAATGTGTAATTTTTACCTTTTTTTTTTTCTTGTATCACCATTGAGTTGTTTGAAGAGGAAGTCTTTTTGGATTATGAGATGGTATTGAAATGCCTCAAGTTAATTCCGTTTTATAGCTTCTTATAATTTCTACTCTAAGCCCTTTACTGGATTTTTAAGTTCAACAGACCCAGCAATTACACTGAATTTACCCATACTAACACAGTAAGATAATAAAAGTAGGGCTGCATTAACATCTGCCCAAGAGACTATTTAATGCACGATCATGCTAATAGAGTAGCCGACTGATGCTGGGTCTAACACCACTGAGGTTCACTACAAACAAATCAACTATCATGCACCTGATAGCAATTTTTTGCCTCACATATCCACTTGAGATTTCTTTGAACTAAACGTTTGTGCGGACAAGAAATGTTTACAACTTACTAACTCCAAGAGGACATTTTGGTTGGCAAGAGACATTGGCTGTTTTCAACCCTTTTGGTTATCTCCGAGTATGGTAAGGAGTCTGTTGTGCTGTGTTCCGGTCCCGTCAGTCACTGTTCTCCACTAAAGGATCCCTCTCGCACTGCGAAATCGCTAACATCACCGAGACCCCAGCTAAGCCATTTGTCTAACTCTGCCTAATCATCTCTCTCTCTTTTTTAATGATTTTCTGTTTAGCCATCAAAGGATTTTCACCACAACATAAGATCACTAGCTTCGAGGAAGCCAAGGGCTTAGACCGGATTAACGAGAGGATGCCGCCCCGCAGAGATGCCATGCCCTCTGACGCCAACCTGAACTCCATCAACAAGGCCCTCGCTTCCGAGACGAACGGCACGGACAGCAATGGCAGCAATATTCAGTGACCACTTCCTGTTCACTTTTTTTTTTTTCTGAGCTGCAGGGCATGATGGGGATTGCTGTATATCGGCAGTGGGATATTCTTGCCTCAGATGGTAGTCTATTTGCTCTGGGGGCCAGGAATTCAGAATTCAGTTTACACTATCATAAAATAAAAGCGGGAGAGAGATGATAAACTATATTTTGTTGGGGGTTGTGATCAAACACCTCCTTTGGGGATGCCTTTTAAAAAAATGCTTCTGGGGGGGGAATTTTAAAGAAAGCTAACGCTAGTATATATACTGCAATGTTAGGGGAATGAACGTGTTTTCCTACTGCATTGGGGGGACTTCTAGCTAGGTTAATGAAAGGCCTTTTATTATGTTACTGGACATGAACACTTTGTCTAATTTCCTACTCTACTGTACGTTTACAGTCACGGCACTAAAAATGGATGACATCAAACATTTTTAACAAAATGATGTACAAACTAAATAAGGACTATTTATTGATAATGTTTTGCTACTCTTGTCAGACAATGGCTATAAACTGAATTAGGCAGTCTTAAAAAAAAGGAAAAAAAAGAATGTTGCAAATTTGTTAAAATGCCAAAAGGACAGTAATTTTGTACAGATTATGTTTACCTCAGGTTTCTGTAGTGTGCTTGAATGCCCTTTTTTCTTCCATGTAACACTTCCTAATTTGGCAATGAGTATCTTTCCTTTAAGTTTCAAAAAAACTGGAATAATTACATCTATCCTTTATTTGCTGTTTATATTTAGGGTTTTTTGTTGAAAAAAATCAAGTCTTGGTTGTGGCTTGCTGAATTAAATATTTATGAGTGGTGCATTTTTAAGTATAGTGAACAAGACACCATATTAAGTAAAGTGATAAAGCATCTATATTCTGTAAAAAAAAAAATCTGCCTATGCATGTTTTTTAAGAAAAAAAGTGGCTGTCTTGGCCTGTACGGGACTGTCATGCTCGTAGTGGCCTGACTGCGTACTGGAAATGTACGTATACTGGCGTCCTTCATATTCCCGAATGCTTCATGCCTTGACATTTTGTAATCAAAAAAGCTTTGAAAAAAATCTAAAGGGGAGAGAGTATTCTTAAAAGTTTTTAACATAAGCTTGTCAGTGCACATATAGATGGTTAGCATGTTTAGCAAACTTTGTGAACTTTAAATAAGTTTGTAGTGACATGTGAAACTCTAAATGCATGGTAACTGCTACTGTCATCATGGTTTAGTTCATTTCATTCTGTTCTGTCATGTGCCACAAAGAAATATGTACTTTTTTTCACTTTTTTTTCCCCTTTGTATATCAGTTACGGGTTACAACTGGTTCATTCTGAAAACAACAACAACAATAACAAAAGTCCATTCATATTTTTTAACAATTGTATAAGTGCCCAAGTAATTCACTACAGCCTAAAGCCTTGCCTTTGTAATTTGACTTCTGAAATGTTGGCAATCAAAGCATGCACTTGTAACAATGAAAAAGAAAAAGCATTTTATATTACTACTCAATAAAAAAAAATGTGCATGAACTTAAAGAACTCTCATCCTTTCACTGAGTCTGATGAAGGGATTGAAGTGCACAGCCACCGTGGCGTCTTCTAGGTGCTGGGCTCCCCAGCAGGCATCACGGCTTCACTTTAATAGGCTCAGGCAGGCCTTGTGATCTAAAGTGCGGTGCCTGCTTCAGCTGTAAGAATCTTGGTGGATTTGTGTCTCAAATCAGACAAGAGCAATCGATTTAACGCACAGATGCCATCTTTTCTGGCTCCAGGACTGTGGGAGTCCTTTATGAAACCAGAGCATTCCTTTTCATTGGGAAAAAAAGCTGTAGCCATTTGTTGTCAGGTTGTTTCAGTTGTATTGGATGCCCTATCTGCTACAGCCAAAAGAACTACGCTTCCAAGTGCATTGCACTCCCAGGAGAGAGTTGCATTTGTATTGATATGAAATTTGTATACCAGCGCATCAGCTAATATCTAATCACCCGGATATTTAAGACACACCAAGTTTCAGTTTGTTTCTAACATTGTTCATTTTTAGTGCACTTTGTTTTATGTAATAAAGTCAGCCTGTTTTATTAAATATTAAGAATATGGCAATTAGTGATCGAGTGTACCAAAACAAAGATGTTCTAGATATATTCTCTGACAAAGACTATCCCAGGTTGATTTTAATGAATCCAAATCCCTCACCCCAGTGGGTCTTTTTCCATCCCTCCAAAAAAAGGACAGACAAGAAAAAATTAGGCGCACCTTACTGGAGTGATGTGAAAGAATGGTATTTCTGGTACAAGGTGTTCGCTTTCTTTCTTATACCTGCAGAGACAATATCCTGACAAAAAGAAAATCTTTTTTTTTTTAATTCTTTTCCTTTACAAATTGTGCTGAGGCAACTATGGCATAGAAATAAACATTTGACATTAAAATAAGCTATTGATGTGAGTATTGCTTGGTCATTTTATTAAGAAAATTAATGCCATATGTTTTTGCAACATAATTTGATCTTTGAAAGCAATATATAGAACTGAAGTTATTTCTCCAAAAGGAATACTAATGCCAGTTCACCATTTACTAGAGCTAACCTAAAGAGTTGAACTCCTGAGTTTATCGTGCTATTGAATTTTCTGTGTCTGTCTGTCTTGAGTTTCTCTCTCTGTCTCACACAAATAACATTCACTTAGCCTCCTGCCTTCCCCATCTCCCAGAGGACCAGTCCTGGGGGCTGTAGTTAACGCCAAATTTTCATCTAGTTTATGAAGAATGACAGGTAGGTTTGGCACATCTCTCAGGTCAGCAATTTTTTTTGCTCACTTTTATATTTTCGTTTCTTAATAGTCGTTTTAAATAATGTTTGAGAAAAGAAAAGAAGGCGATCCTGCATCTAAAGCTGTGGTAAAGGGGCCAATGTCCAAGTTGGTGAAAAGGAGCATCCCTGCCCCATCTGCAGGGCCGTGCCTTAAAGCCGTGTTTCCTGAAGTGGGCGATACTGCCCCTGGGGGCTGCTGGCATGATGGCACAGAGGTGTGATGCAAAAGCAGATACCTGTGCTTTATCCTGGAGTACAGGCTAGAGCAGTCTTCCTAGCACCGAGGTGTTTCTTTTCTTTCTTATCCTTACATAGAAAAGATCCTGACTTTTTTTTTTTTCCAGAGAGGCACTGAGTAATTTTTTTTTTCTGAAAAGGGGGCCAGGAGGCCAAATAAGTTCAAGCACCTATGGCTTCTCCTTCCTAATGCCGTGACCCTTTAATACAGTTCCTCTTGTTGTGGTGACCCCCCAACCATAAAATTATTTTCGTTGCTACTTCATCACTGTCATTTTGCTACTTTTATGAATCGGGTGATTCCTGTGAAAGGGTCATTTGACCCCCAAAGGGGTCACGACCCACAGGTTGAAAACTGCTGGCTTGAGTAAACCATCAAAGCTGGAAGTATCTAAGCAATTAACGGAGAAGGTGTAATGGCGAAGCCAAGCACTTCTCAAATTATTGCTCTCTTTCCCTCATCCTGCCATATCTGGGTGAGGTCAGTTGTGGCATCCCTCCATTTTTTGACCCAGAAGAGGTCATCCGCACAGGAGGAACAGTGAGAGTGGCCTCGTTTAGTGGTCCATGCGTTCAGACAATTCCATGGCTCTTGTTTTCTAGATCCATCGTGCTCCATTAAGAAGCACGTGCCTTGCCAGTTCCCAAACCTGAGTACCCAGATTTCTCCTAACCCTGGAAGCCATGAGTCAGATCACCAATACGGGAGACATTTCCTTGTCCCCTGTGATCTCGTCTTTCACCTGATTCCTGCCATGAACACTGAGTCTCTGCTCTCTTCCTGTGCTGGTCTAGGCTATTTTCCCACAGAAGCCTGGCATTCGGTACAGCACATCCATTTTCGCTGTCATGTTAAGCACTACAGTTTATTTCCATCAAGTACCAGTTTCACAAAGTAAACCAAGGCTTTCCTTACACTAGACTGTTTCTGATTGCAATTATTTTCTATTTCTTGAATACCTCTTATATTTTAAGATAGTATTGACCTGTTAACCAGGGAAGCCAGTGAGTAGGCCTTTTCATGGTAACACCATTAAGCAAAAGAAAATATGAGACATTCTACCTATTTCTAATGCTCCCATTTTCCAGAGGGAGCAACGACAAATGAGAATTCATTTGGGGGACTGGAGGCCCGGTGAGGAGTGTCTGTTTTAAGGAAAGAATTGGGAAGCTTAGAGAGGAACAAAAGGAGACACAAGATCTCTAATTTTGAGTGGGCTACTCCAAAAAAGCGTGTTTGAGTCAAAAGATGCCCACTGGACTTGAAGTTGTTCTTGGCTGCTGTCCGGGTGGTCACTGGCTCATACCCCCCAATGCACAGTTGAGCATCGCCCTGCCTGGCCTGTGCCACCTTCTGCTTGGTTGCATCCAGGGTGTTTTCATTGGTGATGTTCACAGCGAGATCACCGGACTGTCCTTTTCTGCCTCGGTCTGGGCACCCCACTGAAACCCACCAAAACCACCCCTGACAGATGGGCGGAGATTGTACATGAGCTGCATTGGCCAGGAATTGAACCCTGGTCTTCCATTGTCAAAGACAACCAACATCCTGCCACCGTAGAAGTTGCTCATAATTGAAGCTATTTCAACCTGACCAGAAGCGGTATGAATGAACTCAGTGGGCTGTTAATCAAAAGGTTGATTCGTTGTCTAGTTGAAAACGTGTCTAAGTGACCCAGAGGTACATCAGAAGAAAGACCTGGTGATCTACTTCCAAAAAGTAAGCCACCGGCAGGCTTACTGGAGTGTAACTTTTCTGTCTGACACACATGGGGCCACCATGAGTCTGAATCTCCTCAACAGCAAGTAGCAAAACCTCTCAAGAAAGCAGATACCATCCCTTCATGGGATGTGTTTTACACCAGGCACAATTCCTGTGCTGCGTCTGCAGTGCTGTCCCCTGCAGCACTGTGGGTCAGTGAGGGAATGTCGGGTCTCATGGTGGGGCCAGCCCTACGGTCCTATCTGTGCCTTGGCTGTGCCAAGCAGGAGTGTTGTCCTCGGGGCTCGGTGGGACAGGATGTGGTTCTCTCTCTCCCTTTCCCTCTTAGTTTGTCCCGCGTGATCTGGACAGACCCGCCACTCTCCCTGGGCTGAATCGTCAGTGCTGTCCTCTGTAGTGCGATCTTCTGGGGAGAGGTCGACATGGCTAGGATTGGGACAGGCCCTGCTGGAAGTGTTTTACCTGTGGGCATATTCCATTCAGTGTAACAGATGCGTCCTGGACAACACCACATGGAAGGGGCTCAATGAGACATCATAAGGACCCTAGGAAGGAAGATAATGAACTAGGTATTACCATACAACATTAAGATTAGAACTATTCATTCAATAATTACTCAGTGCTTTAGGAGCCCGGTGTTTTGATTCACAAACTGTTCCCTAGTACTGTGTGCTTACAGGAATACTGCCATGGGCTTAAGCTTTATACATCTACCAGAGAAGTTTCTTTTCTATATAGTTGGCATGTAGAGCTGCTATATATCAGCTGAGAAGAGTTTGCAACATAATAACCAAGAATGACAATGTCTATCATAAAATATTACAGTAACTCAAGACAAAGTTAACTTAAAATCTAGTTTGGAAGTATTCTTGACAAGTTGCATTTTCAATTCATTTTAAACCAAGGGCATGTAGGGGTCAATCTAAATTTCTTTCCAACGACTCCACCTTGTCCACCAGATTAAGTCTAATTCCCTAAAGCTAGCACAGGAAGCCTTTCACCGCCCGACTCTTGCTCGTCTCATCTACCCCTTCTCTTTCCTACTTGACCCTGCGATTCAGCATGATGGCCTCAATTCCCTAGCTCTTCTGTGTGGAATGACCAGTATTTTACAGATGTCAAATTTGCCCTAAATAGTTGGATGGGACCTTTCCCCTTCTCCAATTATCCAAGTGTTAGTGAGTCCTTTAATAGGTTTAATTGTAGCATTTAGTACACTATAGAAAATATTGTTTTTCTATGGCACTGGGATGAAAATTGTTTTAGCTTTGCGTTCTTAGCATTAACAGTGGCTGACAGGAATGTTACTTGGAATAAAGGGAAGAGAGAAGAGAATAAAAGGTTTTAAGCCCGAGCTCGTGGTGGGGATCATCTTTCCCGGCCTGATGAGGAACATTTTTGTAGCACGGTTAAAACACAGAATCCTACTGTTTCCCACCGGGGTCTGGAGGGCTGCAGGAAAGTCCACATTTAAATAAGTATCTGCCTCATTCTGATCACCAGGCAAGTCCGCAATAACCCTGCCATACCTTTTCTTCTATTAAAAATGTGAGTCTGTATTTCAATTCAACACATTTTCTAACATGTTCAAAGATTTTCATACCGAAAATGCATAATTTCAATTTTGGTTATAGGGTCCTAATTTGCATTTAGATGAAAAGATGGGCATTATGTAAATATTTGTTTAAAACTTAACATTCTCAACTAGACCATTTTTAGGAAGATGCATTGACCTTTAAAGTTGATTGTATTAGACTCCAACCAGGAAAAAATAAGGGTGCTTCTTCTCGAAGCCTCTTTAAGACAAGAGTTGCAGTGATATTTGAAAGATTGCTTCTTTCACATTGGCCCTCCACCTGCGTCATCTCACTTAGCATCACTACCAACGTGCCATAACACGTTCAAAGTCATGCTTTTCAAATGTACACCCAGCATAGTTAATGTTCGACAGCCTCACAGTTTACATGAAACATTGCCATGACAAGGTCAACTGTTTGCCTTCAACACCCATTTCTCCAAAAATTAGAGATCATAAAATGTTGTCAGTCACCAATACCTTAATAAGAATTTATCATTGTCCTGATTCCAACAACCATCAAGCTGATGCTGACTCCATGACCGTATAGACAGAACTTCCCTTGTGTGGTTCCCAGGCTAAGTGTTTATGGCAGTAGGAAACCCCATTTTTCTCTCTCCTTCGGAACAGCCAATAGTTTCAAACTGCCACACTTGCAAATCAAAGCCCAACTCGTAACCACTAAGCCACAGGGCTGACATAGTCCTGATGGGGCTAGTCAAAAGCCGTCAAGACAGAGGCCGCAGTGGAGCAGGAGTGACTGCTTGGAGAGAACAGAGGGAGCACTGTGTCTCTAGGGAAGAAGAGGCCCGTCCAATCACCTCGCAGTCTTCACTTGGTAGCTATCTGTGCTGGCCTGTGTCTAGTGGAGAAGACAATAGAAGACGCAGTCTCTATCCTCTTCCAATATACAATCGCGGTGACGATAAAGCCACCCTGCATTGCCATGTGTACTCACGTTGGTGCCAGATCGTTTATTTGAGTCCCAATCTGAGTTAGAAGTGGGTTGGTGTTTTTACAGCTCTGCTAATTACCAGATGTTTGTGTGACCTTGGAAAACATGCTAAGCTTCTTTAAACCTCATTTT